GAGTCAGAATTTCTAGGATGGGGCTTGGATAGTTGAATGTTCACATGGTCCTGCAGACACTGAAATCTGAAAAGCAGGGCTTTTGGAAGGGTGTGGGGGTACTGGGGATCAAACCCAGGCCTTTACACCTGCTAGGCACGTGTTCTAGTGCTGAGGTGTATGTGGTACCAGCCCTTGTTATCTTGTTTTTCTAATTTTGAGACAGCGTCTTGTGAAGTTGCTCAGGCTGGCCTCAAACTTGCAATCTTTCTGCCTCAGTCTTTGTATTACCTGGGATTATAGGTGTATGCAAAGTTGGCTCCTCCATACTTGGGAGCAAAACAGGACTTTTCATGTCTCAATAAGAGTAGGGGAGGTATTTGTTGAAACTGTACTTTCGATTTGATTTGAAACTGTCTCATTGCTATATGTTTATCAATAAAACTTTGAAAAGAAAAAAAAGAGTAGGGGAGGAAGAATAAACAAATATTACTAGATTGTTAGTACTAAGACTGTTTATAGACATAAATATGTAGTGAAATTTTGGTTGAGCATAGTAGTGCATGCCTACATTATAATCCCAGCACTCAAGTGGCTAAGGTTTCATGCAGCATGGAGCCTTGGAACTTCTTCAAAGCAACATCTTTCTTTTTTGTTTTATTTTTCTTTTTGCGGAGCCAGGGATCGAACTCAGGCCCTTGCACTTGCCAGGCAAGTGCTTATTCTACTGAGCTATCTCTCCGGCCCCTAACAGCTTTCATTGGTTGCAAACTAGCAAATTTGAGCCTGTCTGGTGTGGAGTCCTCTTGGTTCTTGTGATGCCCTAAGCCCATCTTTTCTATTGTTTTGTTCTCAAGTATTTGGCTTGTGTGTGTGTGTGTGTGGTACCAGGGATTGAACTCAGGACCTTGTTCTTGCTAGGTAAGCACATATTCTACTGAGTTATCTCCCTGGCCCAATTATTTGGCTTTTTAATGCTAATATTTTTAGCAACTAAGTTCTCCTCTACATCATCTTTGTAGGTGCCAACTTAACCAGAGTTTCCTTTCTGGCCAAACTCAAAACTTTTAAAACCATTCTGATGGGTCAATTTTTTGTTTGTTTGGTTTGGTTTTTTGTTTTAATATAGGGTCTCCTAATGTTGTATAGGCTGGCCCTGAACTCACTATGTAGCCCAGGCTGGCTTCAAACTAGTGGCCATTGCCCTGACTCAAGTTGCCAAATCTATAGGGAGTTGTGGGACTATAGGAATATGCCACCATACCCAGCTGGGTCTTAATTTTTTTTTTCTTTTGTATGTATTTGATGCAAGGTTTCACAAAACAGCTCGGACTTATAGTGATCCTCCTGTTTTCAACCTCCCCAGTGCTGGAATTACAGGTGTGCATCACTACACCTGGTCTCTAAGGCTGGCTCAGTGCACCTGCAGGTGGAGCCAGTGCAGTGTGGGGTGCTGGGAATCAAACTCCAGTCCCTGCTCTTGTCTAAGCAGGTAATTAGTTTGCTGAGCTATCTCACCAGCCTGGGTCTTAATTTTCAAAGTAGAGTGGCTAAAAGCTCTCAATAGTAGTCATTGCCATTTACACATCTTAAAATTTCTTCCACCAGTTTAATTAGTCTGTTGACTTTAATTTCAAACTTCCACAAATTCTCAGAACAGGAGCAAAATGCAAACTACTATTTTGTTAAACCATAACACACATGGTCTGCAGTTCAGCTGCCAATGAAGTCCTTCCCAACTGAAAACTCTTGAGCCTGGTTTGTATTACTGTCAACACTCTGGTCTTCTGAGCTTCAACAAGATTCTCCCATCAAAGTTGGCTCGCAACATTTAGGGCTGTTTCTTGAGTTGTCTTCTCCAAACTTGTTTATATTCCTCCTACAAGCCTGTTCCAAAGACTTCTGTACCACAGGACCAGGGGGAGAGGTCACAACAATGACCCTACTTCTTTGGTACCAAAATCTGTGTCAGTCAGTGTTCACTAGAAGAACAGATTTACTATAAGAAGGATCTAATCAAATGTTGAAGGCCTTAAGCTCACTGGAGAGTCCCAGACAAGTAGAATCTATGCTGAAAGCCTGGAGACAGACATTCAAAGGCGATGGCAAAGACTGTAGCTTGTCTGAAGCAACAGAAGTGAGATTTTCCTTTTCTTTTCTTTTTTATTCCACCTAGGCTAAAGCTGTTATAGCATATATCTAGATGTCTCCTCAAAGCCTTGTGTGCTTACAGGTGGGGCTTTTGGGAGATGACTGAATCATAGGTGTGTGATATTTATCATTAGATTTATAGCTGGTTATGATGCTGGGAAGGGAAACCTGATGGAAAGACTTGAGTCACTGTGTGCGTGGCTGGGATCCTTAGTCTTTCATTGCTTCCTGTCCCCCATGCCATGACTTGTTATCCTCTGTCATGTCCCTCTACCATGCTGCCCTGCCTTGAAGCCAGACAACTATAGACTGAAACCTCTACAAATGGTGAATCAAAATAAACCTTTTCCCTTTAACTTTCAGGTGTCGGGTATTTTATCTCAACAATGGAAAAGTAACTAATGCCCAAACCTACTGGTTGATGCCACCCACACCAAGGGTGGGTCTTCCCTCTTCAGTGAGTCTATTATTCAGACGTACCCAGGACTATGCTAAATGAATCATCTGGGAATTTCTTATTCAAGGTAACAGCACAGTTAACTATCGCAAAGAGGAAGTAAAAAAACCAGAGAGTGAGTGGGTAGTGGAGAGAACCAGATTGATTGTAGTAGTTGACTGCAAAAACCAGCATCACTGGTTGGAGAGGAAGTTGTGGAGAGATGCAAAAACCACAAAGCTAATGTTGCGAGAATAAAACTGCAGTTTGCTGACTGGCTATGTGGAGGTGAAGGAAGAATTGTCATAGGGCAGTAGGCCTTAAAATAGTTGATTTACCATCTTTTCTTGTCCTGACCATGGCAAGAGGAAAGCTTGAGTAGTCTTCCAGTGTAGACAGAAGGCCCACACCTGGTCTGTAGTAAGTGTGTTGATTCCCAGGCTATGGTACAATGGTATGGAACAGGATCAACAGAATAAGTGAAGTCAAATGAAATGGCAAACTGAAAAGAGTCTAAGCTTTGGAGTCACATAGCACTACTTCTGAAGTCTGACTGTTTCTTTCATTTTTAAAATTTATGTATTTGCTACTGAGTCTCACTACAAAGCTCCGACTCATGCCAGTCTCAGTGGCCAGCTCAGGGTACCCTGGGGTGGGGTCGGTGCCAGTGCAGCATGTGGTGGTGAGGATCAAACATGTGTCCCTGTGCTTAGTCTGCTGAACTATCTCGCTGGCCCCAGTCTGGCTGTTTCTTAACAGCAATAATACCTGGAGCAAGTAACCAACCATCTCTTTTCTTTTTTTGAGGTACCAAAAATCGAACTCAGGACTTCACCCTTGCTAGGCAGTTACTGTGCCACTGAGCTAAATCCTTGGCCCCACCAATCATCTTCCACCTCCTTCTCTCTCTCCTTCCTACCCCTACCCTCTAGCCCAAAGCCTCTGCAATGGTAAGCACACACTCAATCAGTAAGCTACATTCTCATCTTTGTACCTTTCTTTCCTACATTCTATTATTGTGGTAATTAAATGATTTAATATTCATAAAGCTTTTAAAACTGTGTTTGGGAGCCAGGGATATAGTTCAGTGTCATAGCATCTGATTCCTGGTATTAAAAAAAAAAGAAAGAAAGATACATGTCTGGAACACAGTACACCTATTGGTTAAGAATCTTTTGTCTCACTAATTTTTTTATTTTGGGCATTGAACCTATAGTGTCACACTTGCACTCTTACCACTGAGCTGCACTCCCAGGCATTTGTCCCACCACTGAACCAGTTTAGATTTTTGGGTGATAAACTTCATTCTTCCGTTAGCCTCTAGATGGATATAGATAGATCTATGGCTTGGTCACTTGGAAGGTGTAATGCCCTTGTCAGTTATAGTAGTAATGATCCCTTAATAAGTAAAGCATGGACCAGGACATACAGGGAAATTTTGGTACTACCCCAAAACAGCTACAGAGAGGAGAAATGTCTGTCATTTTCTTACAGTTATCTCCAGTTTTTAAAGTCCTAGAGGGTGAAATATATATATATTTTTTTTTTAATTTTTTTTTTCTTCCAGTACTGGGATTGAACTTAGGACTTTACACTTTCCAGGAAGGCACTTAAGCTGTTGAGCTATCTCCCCTAGAGGGTGAATTTTAAGAAATTAGCTGGGCATGGTGGCATACACCTGTAATCCCAGCACCTGGGAAACGGGCCCTTTCCTCCTTCTGGAATGGAGAGAGGACACTCTGTTTTCAAACTTAAAACCAATGCAGGGTCTTCCGTTTCAGCCTCTAGGCTGTTTTTCTCATCTTGGAGAAGGCTGGAGGCCTCTTTATCTTTTAGGTTTAAGTTTAGGGTGTTTGTTTTGTTTTGTTTTGTTTCAATTTAAAATGTATTCATTTATATAGTAAATATTGTCCCAAATTTAAAAGGTCTCTTAGTCTGTCAAGTTTAACTGGAAAATTCAGGTTTTTTTTTTTTTTTTTTTTAAATCATGTACTGACTCAGTGCAAAATATGTCAATTTACTAGATATTATATAATTTAATACATATGTAGAATCTTGGTTAAGTGGTTAAAACTGGAGACCAACATTAAAGGTGAACACATGGCTATTTCATGCAGTTTAGAGTGTCTGGCTGGCCAAGGGCAGACCTACAGTACTCATCTGGAGGTGCTGAAAAGCCCTCATGTAGAGCAGGATTTTCATTGGTCGGAAGCGTACTCTTTTCTCCCCTTGTCCTTACTTGCGACTGCCCGCGTACGGTCCCCAGTCATCATACTTCTGTCAGCGCGATATCGCGCGGATAAGAGTCTGCAGCGCTACTGCGCCTGCGCGACGCTCCTCGGGCTGGAGTCCTGGAGCTGCCCAGCGCCGGGGCTACTCTGTCATAGCGCCTGCGCGGCGGGCTCCTCGGCTGGCCAAACCAGAACTGACTCGCGGGCGGGTTCAGTCGTCAGTGCGCCTGCGCGCGGGGCAGGCGCCTCAGGTCTAGTCGGTGCGGTGCCGGCTGCTGAGTGTAGCCATGCAGAAATCCGACTCCAGTCAACCTGCTAAGCGGCCCCGATGCGAGGGCAGCCCGAGGACTCCACCACGCACTCCTGCAGGGACGAACAGGTCCCTGCTCTCGGAACTCCACCCCGACCACCGGACCTGGGACCCGGAGCAAGTGTGCTGTTACCTGAAGCGCTGGGGTTTCGAAGAACCGGGACTCCTGAAGAACTTCCGAGGTAGCGGGGCTGGGGGGTTGAGGGGCGAGGAGTGGCAGCCGGAGGGGGTCGGGGGCCAGCTGGGCCTGAGGAGGCACGCCCGGGGAGAGGGGCCTCTCGAGGGGACGTAGAGCGGGAAGCGAGTGACGCGGGAGGCACCCGAAGGGGTAGAGCTGCGGCGGGGGCGCCCGGAGTGAGACCCTGAGGCGGGGGACGGAGCAATGGAGGCTCGGGGTGGAGGTCCGTAGGAAGGAACAGGCTCTGGAGGTTCTGACCCCGGCAAGGACGACGAGTATAAATTTGACTCCTACTCTGGCGGGTTTCTGCAGGAACTTGCTACCGGACAGGCGAGACACGGGTCCTTTCGGCTTCCCGCCCGGTCCTGGGGCTGGAGCCCAGGTCCTCTTGCGAGCTAGGCGAGAGCTCTACCGCTGAGCTAAAGCCCCAGCCTTTTTATTCTGAGCTAGGATCTGGCTGAATTGCCCAGATTGGCCTCGAATTTGCAATTCTTTTGGCTCAATAGAATTTGGGATTACAGGGAAAGGGGTCCCCCCCCCCCTTTTTTTTTTTTTTTTTTTTTTTTTTAAAGTTAGAAAATTGTTCCCCAGACCGTGGATGGAGGCTTGGTGTCGTTCAGGCTCCCCGGGCTCCGGAGATCTTCTGTGCTAACCGCAGCTCCTTCATCACTTGCCACATGAGACATTTTAAGTTTATGACCCACCCTCTCCCCACCCAGAATTTTGAGGTTTTCCTAAAGTGCAGAAAATTTATTTTGTTAATCTCTGAATTTCCAGACTACCGTAGCAAGCCCAGAAGGGTTCAGTGTATGTTGACCGCTTGTGCAAAGCTTGATAATGATTGTTTTACTCTTTGTAAGTTTCTCTTTTTAAATCTGAACACTGGGTTGGAGTTGCTCAGTTGACCATTGAATTCCTAGCATTTCACTGTTTAACCACATTTAGGGAAGTGTATAGTTTGAGTTTTAAACGACTCTACTAGTTCATGTCAAAGTATCCATTCTCCCACTTGAAATGTGTTCAACTTTCGGTGGTTGTGTGAAGCTCCTGTTGAATCCCTTGAGATGTTCAATAGGAAAGTGGTTGTGCTCTGCATATTCGGCAGACTTCAGATTGTGGAGTGGAGCCTGTCTGCTTATGAAGCCTGGGTTGAGGAGCATTAAAGGATTTAAACATAGTTTGAGGGCCGGGGAGATAGCTCAGTAGAATAAACAGTTCCCTGGCAAGCACAAGGGGCTGAGTTCAATCGCCAGTTCCGCAAAGAAAACAGAAAACAAAACAACATAGTTTGAATGTAGAAAATTGTGCTTACCTTTCACCCTTTCCTCTCCTAGTTTTACTCCACTGAAGGGATGGGCTTTTCTTTTGAAGAGTAACAGGGAATAAAGCTATTTTACATTTTTGTGTTTCCAAAATGTCATTGGCTGTGTTCTTTCTTGTTGTTTCAGTGTTCAATAGAGTAAATCATCAGCCTCCAAGATGATCTTTTATAGATATGTAGTTTTCTGTCTTGTTTTGTTTTTGCGGTACAGGGGATTGAACTCAGGACCTTGTGCTTGCCAGGCAGGCGCTTATTGTACTGAGCTATCTCCCCAGCCCCTCAGGGAGATCTTTTAAACATATAGTCTAGAGCTAACATAAGACACTGTGCTCTCAGTTGGTAAAAACTAACCAGGTATTCCTATTTTCACATATCTTACTATCTACTTTGTCTTTGGTTTTTATTTCAACAGGGAATTGAACCAGGGGACTATCCACTCTACCCACTGAGCTAAATCTCCATCCTTTTTTATTTTTATTTTTTATTTTTTAAACTTGAGACAGAGTCTTAATAAGTTGCTCAGGTGGGACTTGAACTTGAGATCCTGCCTCAACTTTTCTTTTTCTTTTCTTGGCCAAACCGGGGATTGAACTCAGGCACTTGCAGTTGCCAAGGAAGCACTTATTCCACTGAGCCATCTCCCCGGCCCCTCAACTTTCCTAAGTGGTGGAAATACAGGCTTGCACACCTAACCTTGAGGTCTGCTTTGTCTTGACCAAACATTACTCAGGTTTTTTTCGTTTTTAACAGAACTCTGAACTCTTGTTTGCCCATAAATCTAAGCAAGCACTAAAAAAGTTGAATTCCCTCCACTCCTGTCACCTCCTAGGAACCTGCTGATCACAGTGGGACTCTGTCCTGTCAGACTGGTCATACCCACTGGATAATGTCTTGTTTGTCCAGCTTCTACAAAGGTTTTACTTATGTCCCTTTGTCCTTCTTCATCCTATAAAAGAAAAACCTTTCTGTTTGCTTTTGAGCAACTAGATTTTGATTTTGGGTTGTTGTTTTTTGCGGGTTTTTTTGTTTGTTTGTTTGGGTTTTTTTTGTTTTTGAGGCAGAATTTCATGATGTCATTCAGACTGGCCTTGAACTCACTGTGTAGCCCAGAGTGGCCTCAAAGTTGAGGCCAAACTCCTGCCTAGCCTACTGAGTACTGGGATTTTGCCACCATACCAGGAAGTAGTTTTTATTTTTAATGGGTACTTTCTTTCTTTTTTTGCGGGGTGGTCTGAATTCCTTCAGGGCAGGTTTGGCTGGCTTGAGTTGTGGGGATCGAACCACAGCAACCTGAGCCTGAGCCTGCTTTGTTGAAGCA